TAACTTGATTTAATATATATATATATATATATATTTTAAATAATTTTATTAAATTTTTAAATAATAAAAATATTATTAAAAATTAATTATTTTTAGATCTTTAAATTTGAAAAATAAATATAATATTAATTAATTTAATAAATATTAATATTTTTTAAATGTATTTATTAAGTAAAATATAAAAAATATCTCAATGATAGTGATATATAATAGGAATATGAAGACGGAAATGTGCCGTATGTTGTGGTCATCTGGATTGATTTTTGAGGTGTCTTGGTTATTCTCAATTGTGATAGATACTATATTGAATTGCCCATAGTTCCCTTCTTTGCTGTTATATTCTTTCATGAAAAAATTAATGCAATGAAGGTTATAGCTTTGCTTTTAGCTTCATGGGACTTTCTGTCTTATGTGTCTAGACGACCAAAAAGCAAGACAGAAACATCTGATGTTATTGAGGTTGCAAGGAGTTGAAAAAAATGATGGATGAGTTATCTTTATATAGAGTTTTTTTTTTATAGGAAAGTTAATTATGGTTGTTATGCCATGTGGAATAATTTAATGAGTGAGAAATGTATCAGGTGTCTTGGTTTTACTAGATTTCTTTAGTATTTTTCTTAGTCCAATTTATTTAGAATTTGCTCGTTAAAGATCAAACTAGGCACAAATCATGTGAAAATATCTATTTACCAAGGTAATTATAACATAAGATTATTTTATCCAAATTAACTTAAGTTAAGAGAATCGACCTCTAAAATTGTTATTCCCAAATTGATATTACTTCACAGAAATAATATTGGTTTAACAATTTAAAAGTCGGAATAAACATTTAGAATACTTACCCTAAGTCGTTATTATTTAACAAAAGTAATATCCACTTAAGAATTTAAAAGTTGAAATAAATCTAACTAACAATTGAATAATTACCATGTGATACCATTTTCTACACATGTATGCCTTTTATTGGTGGTTACAGAATGTCTTTTTCATTTCTTTTTTTAACAACTTTAAATGTGATTAATCATTTTTTAAAATTGAATCGTCCTCAAAACTTACCTATACATGCATTTCACTTTCCTTATAAATATCATGTCTTCAAATTTGAATATTTTTTTTCTGTTACCATTTATCATTTATCATTTATTGAAATTTCCGAGCTCGTCTTCCTCAATGTTATTTCTAAACTTCCAGTTTCATGCTTTCATCATTTCCCAATGTATTTTAACGTCGAAGTAAGACTATTATATCTTTTCTTTCTTTATTCTTGTCCTTCTGTTTATTTTTTATCTTATTTATAGTTATTTATTCTTGATTTTTTATTTATTTATCTTATTTATAGTTATTTATTCTTGTCCAAATATTTGAACTATTTCGCCTACTATTATGGACCCTCTGGTGGCTGCAAAGGTATCCCTCCATAGGTACCTACACCTTCTCGTCCCAACATGGACCTTAGAGGTACCACATCTTGCAAGTTCAGCCCAAACTGATTGGTAAAATTGGCTTTTGGATTCTGAAGTTAGTGACAAATCATTGTTTGATTATAGCCTTCATTTCCATCGTAAACGGGCTTCTCAATAGGAACCCTGAACATGCTTCTAATTCTTCCACCCAAACGTGAGCAAGGTCTTTTCGTTAGTACAAAAATTAATTTTAAGATTGGTTCTTAAAGAACCAATTTTAAAAATGATGTGATAAAAATTTTGTAAATAAAGTTACAACTTTTAAGATTGATCACGTTTTAACTAATCTTAAAAATAATGCAATAATCCAACCATACGAGAGAGGACTATAATGACCATAACTAATTTAAACACATACTAAAATTGAGAAAGTTGAAGTTCCTCAAACTCATTTGGAGGAATGTCAAACATATCATGAGCAACTTAAGGTGGAGTTTTCTCATAAAGACGTGCTTGACTATGTTCCTATAATTCTTCACCCTCAAATTCGTGAAATAACATTTGATTCTGGCAGTTTCTAGAGTGATAATTCGATGATTCATACTTCTTTGAGAGTAGAAAATCCATCCTCTTCTTTAGAAGAATATGTTGTGTGAAACTTAAAATCTTTGTTTAAGCAGACCATTTCTTCTTTCTAATTTTTGTTTGTTGTGTTGTTCCTTTTTTGTGTGAAATAGGGAATGGAAAAATGTTTCTATTATCCTCTTTATGCTTCAAGCATGGAAAGACTGAAGTAGGCAAATTAAGAGATTCGAAGAATCCGTTTGATTCTTATTAATTAAGTTATAAGAAAATAGTACACTAAATTCAACATTTCTATAGATGATAAGAGTATAAAAGATAACAAAAATATTTTAAAAAATCTTAAATTTATTTTCAGGATGAAATTTTATTATTATTTAACGCTTTCTTTTTGAAAAAATATCAATTATTATTTAAAAAGCATAAAAAAATTATTTTTCCTCAAATAATACATTTAATTTTTTAAAAAAAATTCTTTCTTTTTTAAAAGTTTTTTTAATCTCAAATTTTAATCATTTCATATGAAGAAAAAACTTGATAATTTTTTTTGACACTTCAAGTACTATTTATCTTGCTCATTATTGATAGAAATAATTAGTAGAATTTTTAGACACTATATTCAATAATAATAAAAAATTATTCCACCTTATAATTACAATTATGATGGATACTGGCTATAAAAAGATGCAGATATAAAGGACATGATTTAAAAAAAAATTAATTGTAACCTTAAAAACAACCAAACATAAAAAAAAAAAAAAAAAAAAAAAAAA